CTGAAAAGGGCTGCGTCCTAGGGGTCTTCAGGAGGAGGGAGTGCTGGCAACCGCTTGGAGAAAGGATTCTGTTACTGCTGTGGTATTTTGGGCTCCAGACTGCAATGTTTAGAATGTGCTCTGCTCAGACGGTTATGGGACCAGCCCCTCCACCATGGCAACTAACATATGGCGTTGCATTGTTGCTAATAATCACATAATGGAAAGAAAAAGAAGCAAAAAGGAGGACGTCCTTGCATACACAGACTATGAATGTCTATGACTGCATTCTCCAAGGCTGTAACCAGAAGTTATAAATTGCTATATTGCATATTTTCAATTCTCATCCAATTGAAAAAACAGCACATACAGTTTCTGCAGATAGCTCATTTATTTTGTGGAACTACCTAGAGCTCAAGGATGCTGTTCAGTACTAGCTGGGTACAAGCACAGCAAAAGACCAGGGGAAGTTGCCTCTTGATATCATTATTTTTGTCAGGTATGTATAAGTATCTTTTTTGCAAGGACACAGCACCCTCGTTCCAAATTAATGGATCTTTTACCACAAAGGCAGAAGAGATATAAGACACGCTCGCTCACAAACTGCCAGGAAGGTTGCGGCATTTTACAAGTGAGCAGCACAGCCCTTAGGCTGCTGCTTGGCTTCTAGACACATCACTTTTAGCAATTTCTAAGGGACCGATGCACTTGATCAATAGTTGACCCTGTCCTCAGCACTGGACACCACACTGGTTACGGGAGGAAGGCTAGGCTGTGCGCAGGTGAAGCCCACGGAGGACTTTTCAAACATACTTCACCTGAAGGTATCCTGTGCCCTCACAACGAGGCTCAGGGTAGAGACAGGAGAATGTCTGAGCTTATCCCCACCCACCCTGTGTGTTCTGGGAAGCAAGAAACTGTCTGAAACCGAAGACACCCTGCTCCAACCTCCCCTTTACAAGCCAAGTACAGCTGCTGCGCTGCCCGTGCAGCGGGTGGCAATGGGTGCCAGTGCCACCCTGTCCCAGGGGGGTCCAGCACCCACCGGGAGACCTGAGCTCGCTGCGCCAGGAGAGACGTAACGACCAGCACTGGAGCACAGCGACAGATTGGGAAGGGGAGTATTGTTGTCTTCATTTTGCACAGAGTGGGCTGAGATAGAGAAACATGTAGGGTGTTCTGTCTTTGGTTAAAGACTGGTGATTATACATGGAAATAGCTGCTGATCTTGAAATTCTAGGAAGCACTGATTACATTGTGCCAAAGGAATAAAGACATTTTAAAAGAGCCACACTGGAAATGTGTTATAATTTTTTCTCTCTTGCTTTCTGTTCTTGTACTTAGAAGGCTTCTGTTATCCAGGTAGAGATGACAGCAGTGGCTGAGGGCACATCATGGGCCATGGACTGCGGAGGGCAAGCGGCCCAGTGACCTGCACACAGACATTCCTGACTTGAAGACACTTTCTCCAGTTCTCTCATAATGACAACCAGACCTTAAAAAACCAGTAGGATCAATTCACTATCCAAAGAAGAGTTAAAGCAATAACGATAAATTAAATTCCAGTATGAATTACCTTGTGCAACGTAGATTTAGGATACGGGTATTAATTTTAATTTTGAATAGCTTATCTGAATTGCATCTCCAAATATTTGTAATAGTTGATAATATTTGTTACTAATCATCATTGGCTTGCTTATTTAAGTGTCACGCATACAAGAAAAATAAAAGATACTAAAGCACTAGAAGATACTAAAGTACTTACTTTCTTTCCAAGTCTCTCCGGCGATTCCTATTTTATAAACCTGAAAATTAGTTTTATTTATGCGTAATAAAAATTAATTTTTAAATTGAAGGCAATAAGCAAACCCATACAATTCTTAGATGATGTGGTGTTTAATCCTCTTCCATTTCCTTTAGCTTTATCTTCCTGATTTGTCAGTTCTAGTGGCAAATTATTTGCATTCATACCAACAGCTGATTTATGTGGGTAAAATTTGCACCCGAAAAGTCAATAACCTCACAGCGAGTTACATTTGTATTGATGGCGCTGGCAGTCATGAACGCTAAATCCCATTATTTTTAGTTACTTTGCGGGCTGCGATAAAGCAGCGAGCCCGGCAGCGCAACTGACACGCTATTTTTAAGGCAACCGAAATAAGGGTGTCTTCACCCTTCTGGGGGAGCCGTACCTCCGCGCGGGGAGCGGCGCCGCCGCCACCGGCGGGGCGAGAGGGGGGCGGGGGGGGCGGCGGGGCCCGCTCCGGCGGGGAGAGGCCCCCCCCTAGGGGCCGCCGGGGGGGCTGCAGGGCGGGGGCGGCGGGGCTGTGGGGGCTGTGGGGCTGGGGGCTGCGGGACTGGGGGGGCTGTGGGGCTGGGGGCTGTGGGGCTGGGGGCTGCGGGACTGGGGGGGCTGTGGGGCTGGGGGGCCTGGGAGCCGGGGGCTGCGGGACTGGGGGGGCTGTGGGGCTGGGGGCTGTGGGGCTGGGGGCTGCGGGACTGGGGGGGCTGTGGGGCTGGGGGGGCTGTGGGGCTGGGGGCTGCGGGACTGGGGGGGCTGTGGGGCTGTGGGAGCTGGGAGCTGTGGAGGCTGGGGGGGCTGTGGGGCTGGGGGAGCTGGGAGCTGTGGAGGCTGGGGGGGCTGTGGGGCTGGGGGAGCTGGGAGCTGTGGAGGCTGGGGGGGCTGTGGGGTGGTGGGTCTGGCACCACCTCTTGCTTGGCAGCGGGCACGGGTGCTCCTCACAACCGCAGTACGGAGAGCAAACCGAGAGCCGGGTCATCTGTTGTGCTGGCTAATGCTAGCTCCGGCAGATGTATGCTTAAATAAATGTTTGATACTGTCCAGGAAATACAGAGGGGTTTGCGTGTGCGTTTCCATGCTAAGCTAGCCCTCTACCCACAGCTGTAGGAATACAGCGGGTGCATCGGCTTTCGTTAGTCCTCTTGAGCCTGGCTCAGCCCAGCATTTGTCTGAGAAGGCGGCTTTTGAGAAGAAATCGGGTTTCTTGATCAGCAAGGTCACTGGGGAGTCACCAATGTCTGCGAGATAGAAAGGGAGAGGGGAGTACAGAGGAAGCTGTGGGAGTGCAAGGACAGCACCGGGCTGGCGGGAGGGCCGTGATGGTTTAAAAAGCAGCACCCATGCCCTGGGTAGGGCTGCCACCCAGGTTTTGATGTGCCTAGTGAGCATGTATGGCCCCTGTGAAGAGCACTGAGCGATCGGAGACAGAGCAATGAGCACAGTGTTTCGGAATCACCACATCATGAGCAAAACCCTCCCTGAGAGACCGGCACAGAGCTGCTGTACGTGGTCCCCTGTAGCACCCCCACAGCCCCTGCACCAAACAGCAGCAACGAGGTGGGTGAAACAGGGCTTTCACCACCCCCAGGGCTGCATGTGAGTGTTTGGCTGACAGAGGACAGAAACTCATCTTTATCAGGGAGGAGAGTGTTTTTCTCCAAACGGTTCCCCATTGTGTCCTCTCAGGATTCACTCTCAAATGTGACCTACAAATAATTATTTCAAAACCAAACCTGCTAGGCACTAAACCCCATGAATTCCTTGCATCTGAAGCTGATGATCGTATTCCTACTAACATCCCCACTGCCGTCCTCCCCTCTCAGAGGGGCTGGGTGGCTGCAGACGCAGCCTGGATGATGGGCAGTCATGTGCAAGCGGCTTCATCTCCCGCTTCTTGTCAGGCCCACGGCAGCGACACACGGCTCAGCAGCACCCACCGGCTGAACAAAAGATGCTGCTTCTCCCTGTAACCTCCTAGCCCCGGGCCAGTGTGGTTATTGATGCCACCATTACTGTTCTTGCTCTGGTGAGGAGCAGTTTTAAGAAAGGCTTGGCAAGAGACACCCCCCCCTCGTCACCCTCCCGGTTCTGGCCCCAGCGGGGCGGCGGGCGGGTGGGGCCCGGTGAGCCTGGGCGCACCGTGCCGTGCCCGGCCGGCTCCAACCGCGCCACGGCCCGCCGGGCTCCAGCAGCGGCGAACCGGGGTGGGGAAACTGCCGGGACCTGCGGTCGTGCCGGTGATGCCATTTCACCGAGACGCTCCTCGGCACCGCTCGGCATTCCTGCCACACCGGCGGCTGCAGGAAACGCGCGTTTTCCGCCGCAAACCGGCCAGGCCGGGCGAAAGATGCCTTGAACGGCCGCTTTCGGGGCACCGGCCGCACCGCCAGCCAGACCCGCGGGCGAGAGCAGCGGGGCCGGGCCGGGCCGCGCCGCCGCCCCCGGGCAGGCAGCGGGGGGGGGCGCGGCGGGGGGGGGCGGCGGCAGCGCGGGGGGACGCGGCGGCGGCGGCAGGATGGTGAGCGGGGCGCCGGGGGGGGGGGGGCCCAGACCGGGCGGCGGGGACCCGCAGGGTCAGGCCGGTAGTTCGGAGCCTCCTCCGGCGCCGGGCGGTGCCAGGCTGCCTGGGGGGAAGGCAGCGGCGGGGGGGGGGGGGGGGTCGGGACAGCCGGCTCCGGTCGGGGACAGACGGCTGCTGCCATTCGGCGCTGGCCCAGGGAACCAGCCCGGAGCCTCCTGCCGCGCCGTGGGCCGGGAGCGAACTCGCCTTGGTTTGGGGAGGGGGGGTGGGTTTGGGCCACGCCGTCCTTAGGCTGTTGCCGCTGTGACAGTGCTACTCCTGGTTATCCTTTCAACACCACCCCCCCCCCCCCCCCCCCCCATCCCGCTCTCCGGTGTACGGTTTGTCAGCACTACCGCAAAAGAGAACGGTGACGGCAAAGCCGAAGTGGGTCCCGGTGCCGCGGCCGCGCGTGGCCGTGGCTCCCGGGCCCCCGTCCCCGCGGGCCCCGCTGCGCGCGCGCCTTGCCCGGGCCGGAACGCGCCGGCTCGGCGCTGCCGGGCGCCTGTGAGACGCCGGGTAAAGGCCGGGCGGTTCGCTGGACGGCGCAACGGCTGTCAAACAGGCTTTACTTTCTGTGTTTGCGATGCAAAATACGAAAGCGGTGGGATCTTAAGTACAAAAAGGGGGCATGTTTGGGCTGCGTTTTGAAAATCGGGAATGCCTTTTCCATGTTCATGTATTTGCTTTTGCAGTACGGATTTATAAATACATGCCTGAAGTCTCTGGTGGTTGAAAAGTATGGTGAAGAAACATGGGAAAAATTGAGGTACTGTGTTCCCGATAAATGCAGTGTGTTGAAAGAAAATGCTCAGGAATTTAGTAGCTCCCTGGTAAATGGCAGCTGATGTGCATCTCATGTAATTATTTGAAGGAAATAGCAGGGCAAAACCAAGAGTTTCTTACCTTGTAATACTTTATAGTCTGATACTAATTTGTCCCAATTAATTTGTTAGATAATTAAGGATGACATTTAGCCATATAGACAGTTGTACGATAGACTCTCTGGCTCATTGTGACACTGTCAAAAAGTAATTACGCTGAAAAGATGTCATCCTTGATATGAAGCCAGTTTAATTCCAGTACTTTCAGAAAAGCAGCTAAATATATTGCCTTCTCTGGTTTTATCTTTTCTTTATGAGCTATATGATATTTTCTAAGATATACGGATATATAAATGATACTTAGATACATACCTATAATAGCCATTGAAGCCAATATAAAAAATCAGCAAGTTTTTGGTCAAGTCTGTGGAGGCCTCAGAGCTTGATATTGCGGCCACATTGAATGACAAGCCAGCAGACCAGAAGACAACCTAAGACTCCACTTGCCCTAACTCCCCAAAGTATGATGCCCTAATGCTTAGAAGACTTTACCATAACACCATAATGTGAAATAGCAGAAGTGGAGCGGTGGACACCATCCTTCGGCCATGTTAAAGCAACGCTCTTGAACCATTAGGGGAAGTAGTGTGTTCCAACATACCGCTTGAAGGAGGCTGAGGAGTGGGTTAACAGCAAGCAGTGCTCAATGAATGTCGGTTGGGTCACCCAAGTAGGTTATATTTACAGCTCTGCTGAGACCAGAATATTCTCTTCTCTGTTGCAGGCTGCAGGCCGGTGTTCAGGATTCTTTCTTGACTTTTGAGGTTTACAAAGATGAGATCACAATGCAGCTCATTGACAAAGCCTGCAAAATATTAGGTATGTGTCACCGAGCCTCAAAACTGAACCATTCTGGGTCAATGCTGGGACTGCAGCCCCAGTTTTATTCTCCTGTGCTTTTTGGAATGCCCTACGTTGCAAATTTTCAGCATTCACTCTTAATCCATCTGACAGCATTTCAAAAAATTCCTAGCCTTTCTTATTCATTAAAGTATCTTTATTTTGCCAGGTGTTCCTGCTGACATGGTTCTGAGAGAGTTTGGAGAGTATTTCTTTGAATTCTGTAAACGCTCGGGCTATGACCACATGCTGAGGACACTGGGTGGAAATCTCTATGAGTTCATAGAGAACCTGGATGCATTGCACAGCTACCTGTCCCTTTCTTACCAGGCAAGTTCAAGTAGCACTTACTGAGCAGGTACGGGTGGACTGTGCCAGAGCTTGCAACACAAGGAATAGCATCTCATAGGTGTCAGTGAACAATGGAAAAAGATGCTACAACAGGCTCTCCTATGTTCTGAAATTGATTACTCCAAAATGTTAGGACAGTTTTTTTTAAATATTTTCTTTTGAGTAGTTCTCAACGTTGGATATTATTTAGTACATTGGCTCTAGTGCATAGTAGATACTCTTTCATGGGTGAGCATATTTCATTTTCTATTTTTCAGCTTACTTATATCGCTGCTTATTTTATTAAGACATGGGATGCTTTCGTACAAGTGGAATTCACCAGTATTCTTTATCAGGAAAAGATACTGAGGTTTTGGTTTTGTGTGTTTTCCCTCAGGAGATGAATGCACCATCTTTTAGAGTGGAAAAGAATGAAGACGGGTCAATGCATTTACATTACTATTCAGACAGAAGAGGTCTGTGCCATATTGTGCCAGGTAATCAGACAGAATGGGGAGTACAGATCAGCTGGTAATGCAATATGTATACAGAGTAATCATATATTTGCAGTTATACTTTGCGCAGATTTCAGAATAATTTTTCTGATTGAGGACTGGTTGTGGAATTGAATCCTGGTAGAGATTAGTCACCAGACATCTGACCTCAGTCTTTCCTTACTACCTGACCACTCCTAGCTCCCAGCAGCTTCCATCAAGATTTTTGATATGACAACTCAGGCCATTAGTGTTCATTCCTGCTGCAGAACTCCTATGGAATTCCTCTCCTGGAAGAAAAAAATAAAGTTTATGGTGTGTATTGTGTCTTAACTGTTGATTAGTTCTCAGTGACTGATGCTCTGTAAATTACTGTGAGTAGAAAATGTAGTTGACTCGAAGACATCCATCCATCCATCCTATAATAAATACTCCTGCAGTACGTGCAATCTGTAAAACTACTATTGAACCGTGCTCAAAACTGAATCTTTTACCAGTATTTATAGGAATCTCCATAGTTGTGCTCATGCAAGGGTTAAGCAGCTGTAAGTCTGTAAGAGGTGATCATATTCCTTTCTTTCATAGATGCTGCTGAATTTAGAAGTATATCAAAACTTCCCTCTTTTTCAAAATTCATTTCATATTCCTATTGAAGCACAGAACTATTTGGAATTTCAGACAGAGCTTTTCATGTCATTGTCCAGTATTTCACCTAATAGCTAAGCAGAAATGAGAGGACTGATTGTGCATCTTCATAAAAGATACTTCCTTCCTTTCAAAAGAAAATATTCTGCAATGACTGAAATAGCTTGTTAGAGCAGAATCTCTTTAGACCCCCTACCCTTTTTGTGTTAATGAGAATTCATATTATCGCTGTGTATGACTATTTGGACACATTCCTTAGATAGCCTGCTGAGCTTCTAGTGAAAATAAGCATTTGTCATCAGACAAGACAAAAAACCCAGTAACTTTAAAGCTTATCTCCTATGCGCATATTCTGATCACGGCAACGGTAGTAGGAACAACATATATTGCTTCTTTGGAAACATATATTGCTTCAGAGTCCTTTGGAAAAGTGATTTCTGAAACAGTGAAATTCCATCATGGGCCCTCTAAGAGGTAAAGTGGAAAGGGTTTGTTCTTGGTAATACTTTGTCTTTTGTTGCCCCTTCAGGAATCATTGGAGCAGCAGCCCTGGATTTTTTTAACATTGAGATTTCAATGGAAATAGTCAATCAAACAGAAGAAGAAGAAAGAACTGGGAAAAAAGAACATATTGTTTTTCTTGTCACTCAAAACCCTGCATTTTCATACAAGAAAAGAAATGAATTTTCTTCCTCACCTCAATATCTTGCTGACTCTGAAAAACAAATTGAGAATCAACTGAATAAAGAGGTATTTTAATATTCATTTTCACTATATTATTAAAATATTATTAAAATAAAAACACCCTTGAATTTCTTGCTGGATTTATTTCAACAGGACCTTGAAAAAGCCCAGAATACAATTAGAGACAGAGGAAGCTCTGTTTGTCCTGTCAAGAAAAGCCACTGGAAAACAATAAGAGGAATAATCACATTAGGAAAAGGTGAGAGATCCTTCAGAGGGAGCTTGTAATTATTTCTGAGTCTCTTCAGTAAGAAAGTCAGTAAACCTCCCTGTCTCCACCCACCCATCTATTTTGAAGTTACCATTCATATTTCCTCTGTGTCTTTTCAAAATGTTTCTGGTTAAGTTTCTTTCTGTTAGACATTGGTAATCAGAGGAAAATTGCAGATAATAAGCATGCTTAGTAATGATAGATACTTAAATGGAATACGACCTGTCACTCTGTCTCTTAAACAGGGTGTTCTTCTGAAAAGTATTCTTCTGTAAAATGTCATTGTGTGGTACATTTGATACTTCCTTCTCATGTCACCTGGTCTAAGATAATGAATTTAAACAAGTGTTTTTTAACTTGGTAGCTGCTACTGCTTTCCAAAGGTATCAACTGTAGCAAATTCTGAAAGCCAAATTACACCCTTCACTACCAAAAATCCACTGCTAATCTAGCAATCTCTGTTTACACATTCATCTATTATATGTTTCTATATGTTTATAAAACAGAAGGATTTTTTCAGTTAGGATCTTTTGATTCCCAAGAGGAAGGAGAATCCAGCGCAGTATTGCCAAGCTGTCTGGACTCTGGGAGGAGTGAAAAATTGAACCTGGTATCATCTGGTGCAATGCCACATGCATTACAAGAGCAGATATACTGAGTAAGAAATTAATATATATTCAGCATAAAATTTTAGAGTAACATTATTAGTTAAAAATAATAACATCCTTTAACAATAAATTCTAGAGTTACCAAGAGCCAGACTTTGAAAAATGAAAAACCCACATTGACTTCCCCTGAAGCAGGAAGAGGTCTAAAAGTTGGGTCCTAAATTTGTAATCTTTTTCACCAGTCTCCTAAGTGACTTGAGCATTTGTTATCAAGCAGAATTTACTAAAGTAACTGTCATAGCCACCTTCTGGGGGAATGAGATCACTTGAAATAATCATCCTTTTGATTATTGTGGGTTACTGGACAATCCAAGTTTGTACTGTGAAGATCAAAGGCTTTGGGTGTTTCAGTTAGATGAGCCTTTTGACTATCCATTTCATTCATTTTACAAGAATATCTTTTCGGTAGCAAGCACAACCTGCTCTGTAGATTTGTGACCATTTTGAAAAAAAATCAGGGTAAATAAAACAGAAACCAAACAGTAATTTGCTCTTTGTGGTACGGACTAGAGTTCTTTGTATAGAAAACTGAAACCCAGATGATGCTGGGTTTTTTCCTCCATAAATTTCCTTAGTAGCTAGCAAAATACATTAAATTCATTTCGGTGTACGTTTTTGTGGGATGTAGCTGTGTTATATTGCTGTGACATCTGCAGATTCATAGAGTAGCAACATCTACGGCTGTTCATCTGTTCTTATTGTTTCCACATAATTTCATGCATCTAATGCTCTGTGCTTTTTGTGTGGTTAAGTTTTAAACTCTCAGCCAACTCAGATTAGTTGCTAATCAGCTGTGTATTTAACTGCAGAGCATTTAGCACAGATGGATGCACAGTTCTGGACCCACACACTGTTTACTTTGTCTTCACTCATTATGATACAGGGTCCTGTCTCACTGAGGGCTAAAAAGTAATGCTGACTGGTTTTATGAGGTGCAACCCAATTAAAAACTACACATTTATCTTGCCACAGGTAAGCTCCTGAGAGGATTTGATCCTGTTTATCCCAAGAGCCTCTGGATTGACACAAAAACATTTTGCAATGGACTTCCTTTTCATATGGTTTTTGACAAAGAGGTAGGACAAGCATGTGGTAAAAGCCTTTAGTTTGCATAAACCATATAGTAATTTTCTTCTGTTTTGACTGTCCTGCAGTTCCCTGCTGTGTGTGTTCTGTATACAGTGCACACTCATTTGCAGGATTTGCAGAAGTGCTCTGTACAGAGACATGCAATAAAAGTCACTCATAACAACTGGATCTGAATCATTTCAGATCAGAATCTCCTTTGAATTTATTGAGATTACCATGTCTGAAAGAGCTGCAGCTGTGCCAACAAGGTTTATTGAACCAATCTATCCATTGCCAACAGAGCAGAATTTTCTGAGGTTTCTGGCCACCTTCCTGTCCTTGGATGTGCCAGAGACATGACCCATCCTTTAAACAGGTTTTGTACTTACAAAACTTACAAAACAGTCCTGGGTTCCCACCAAGCTACGGTTCCTCTTGCTCCCAATCCTGTGCAGAGAACATAAGCTTAAGACAGGAGCAAAGGAAGGAGAAAGCAGGAGAAAGCTGAATACAGCCACTCAGGGAACGTGTTTTAGCATCACAATGATAGAGGTTCCAGAGCACACAGCCTGCTCTGTGCCACTGTCCACATTAGCCAAAGTTCAGAGTTTTAAACCCTTCAAGACAGCCAGTTTGCATAATTTGATGCAATTACTAGTGTGAAAAAAGGGCAAGTCCTGCACCCATCATTGGTAGCTAGAGCTTCAATAACTGATGACAGGCATTGAAGGCAGGGTGGACATTTTTGCAGGAGGTAAGAGCTCGTGTATGGTCAGCAGGCTAAAAGAGAATGACTAAACGCATCATTACTGTGTAATGCTTTACACAGCAATGGTTAAGAGATGGTAACCCATGGCATCTGTTAGAAAATTAATACGTGCCAAGGTGCTATATGCCACGGTTATTTTCTTTTTGGAATGCAGGACATGCTCTGGTATCTCCTGCGGCTACCTGTAAGGCTATTTGTTAGGCCTACACAAATGCAAGCGAGGATAATAGCAGATAATTTCTCTTTTTTTTTGGTGTTAGCAATTGATAAGGAAGAGCATTTGGATAATAACATGCCTTTCTGGGGGCTTTGCCTTGTTATGAAGGACACTCATTCAGAGCTTTGCAGTAATACACTAATAAGATAGGAACTTTGCTCAGAAATAAGCCATGTAGTGTGGCCAATGTGTTTGTGTACATGTACAAACAGTGATCAGCTATAGCTTGGCCTGAACCCAAACATGATATGAATTATAACACATTGTCCATATTTTCTTTTTAAGCTCAGAGTGAAGCAAGCTGGGGTGAGCATTCAAAAGATTGTACCTGGCCTTCAGACCACGGGCATCTGCTTGGATCACTATTTCAGTATCGTACACCCAGAAGTACCCTTCAACATCTCTAGCATTCAGAAATTCATCAACAGCCAATTTATTTTCCAGACTAGAAGAGAGATGATGCCAGAGTCATGGAAACAACGGCCAATGCTAGAGCTGAGAGGTACTTCACTGTTTTCAATCTCATAAGCATTCATGCTAAATCAGGAATTATGCTGGAGTTAAACTAATGCCTTTCTGTGGACTTCACATAAGCCTCATAAATGGACTTGTCTTCATGCAGTAAGGAGAGGATTAGATGGTTCTGTTTAGAGAAACAGGACTTTAATATGCTTGTAGGCAAATTCTGCTATTACCTCACCAGATTTTGAAGGCTTTCAGTCAGAAATAACAACTATGTTCCCATCTGAAAGACTTAGAAAGACAGTGTTTTTCTAATGCTGCAAAGCCCACATCTTTTCAGGTTTCATAAGTAACAGGGGCAAGGCCAAGGGAAGATTAGATTGTTTCCTGAACCACCTCTAGTCTCAGTTATTCACAGGGTTGCAGAATTGACTCAACTCCAGTTGAGTTTCGAAGGGACCTCTGGAGATTTTCTAGTCCATCCTTGCTCAAAGCAGGGTCAACTAGAGCAGGTTACTCCGGCCTGTGTCTAGTTGGGGTTTGAGTATGTTCAAGGGTGGAGACTCCACAACCTCCCTGGGCGACCCATTCCAGTGTTTAACCACCTTTACAGTAAAAAGGTTTTTTTTTCTTATGTTTAAGTGGACTTCCTGCATTTCAATTAGTTTCATTGGATACAACTGAGAAAAGTGGTTTTTACTCCCTCCTATCAGGTATTTATACATCTTGATAAGTTCCATCTGAGGCTTGTCTTCTCTAGGCTGAACATCCCCAGCTCTCTTAGCCTCTCCTTATATGACAGCTGCTCTAAGCCTTCCCAAGTCCTCCATCCTTTACTTCTTGTAAATAGGAGTGACATTTAGTTTCTCTCAGTCCTCAGGAACCTCCTCCGGTCACCATGACTTTCAAAACTAATTGAGAGTAGCCTCACCATGACTCTGGCCAGCTCCCTCAGCGTTCCTGGCTGCATCACACCAAGTTGCATGGACTTCTGTATATCCAATTTGTTTAAATGATTACTAACCTGAACCTCCTGTGCTGATGGTAGATCTTCATTGCTCCAGACTTTTCCACTGGTCTCAAGGCTCTGAGATTCCTGAAGACACTGAGTACCTTGGACTTTTCCATATCCTTTCTCAGCTGATTTCTTGCCCCATTCAGCAGCAGGCCCACATTTTCACTAGTTTTCCTTTTGCTGCTCATACACCTGTAGAAGCCCTTCTTGTTCCTCAACAGATGCAACTCCAAGTGGGTTTTGGCTTTTTCAACACTGTCTCTGCCTCTGGGGTGACCTGGCCCAGCTTTCACCTCTTGTATTTTCTTTTTTATGTTTGAGTTTAGTTAGGAGCTCCTTGTTCATCCATGCAGGCCCCTGCCATGTTTGCTTGTCTTACTGCACAGCAGGATAGACCATTCCTGAACTTGGAAAAGGAGATATTTGGGAATCAACCAGCTCTTCTGGACCTTTTTTCTTTCCAAGACTCTATCCCATGGGATTCTTCCAAGCAGATCCTTGAATGAGACAAAGCCCAGACTCCCAAAGGTCAGGGTTGCAATCTTGCTTTTTTGCCTTGTTCACTCCTCTCTGGTTCCTGCACTCCACCATTGCACAGTCATTGCAGCCAAGGCTGCGCCCAGCTTTCACATCCATGGTTCTTCACTGTTCGTAAATACCAGGTCTAACAGGACACCTCTCCTAATTGCTCACTTGTGTCAGGAAGCTCACCTGTGTCAGTGCCTCAGTGCACTCTAGAAACCTCCTGAATTGCTTCTGCCCTGCTGTGTTGTCTGTCCAGCAGGTATCAAAGTAGCTAAAGTCCACCCTAAGGCTTCCTCCACTTGTCTTAAGAAGGTCTCATCTACTTTTTCTTTCTGAGCAAGGCATCTGTAGCAGACACCCATCACATCGTCACCCACATTGATCTGCCCTCTAAGCCTTACCTAGAAGCTCTCAGCTGGCTCATCATCCAGTCCTAGGCAGAGCTCCATGCTCTCACATAAAAGGCAGCTCCCCCTCCTTGCCTGCCTGTCCTTTCTGAAGAGACTGTGTTCATCCTTTGCAGTACTCAGGTGTGTCACCTACCCCACCATGCCTCTGCGGTCCTAATGACATGGTAGCCCTGAAACTGCACACAGACCTCTAGTTCCTCATGGGTTTTCCCCATGCTGTGCACATTTGTGTGCATGCACCTCAGAGAGGTGCCCAGCCGTGCTCATTTCCCAGAAGAGGTTTGAGAGCTTTCCCCCGTAACGTTGCCCTGTGTGTTTTAATTTGCAGAGGTTAGAACCAAATATATTATGTACAGCGTTACAGGGGTGGAGCCACTGGGTTCAGCATGGAGATGCACTGCGCTGTGTAAAACTAACTGCCCAGGTCTCACCTCACCGTAGCTTTGCACATCAGCCTGTGCACCTGACACAGCTTTGCATGGCTAAGAGTTTTCTTTGCCAAAGAAATGACTGCTTTGTACATGGAACACCATTTTAAGCCCAGCCACTCAGCACAGGCGATGCCAGTTCACAGGTCTTGGCTTGTATCTTTGGCACATACAGACAGTAACGCAACGCGGGGTGATCCACTGCGGGCATCGCCCAGCTCCCATCTGCCGGGAGGGCAGGGGTGGGGGACGAGCTCAGAGACAGAGTCCTGACAGCATGGCTAGAGCTGGGGGGAAGGAATGGCTTCCCCTGCACCTCCATGCATTTTGATTCTTAAAATGTGAATACATGATTCAGTCTTAATTTATGCCTTTGAGGGGAGTTATTTGCTACTGGCTGGGTTTCAAATGTGGGTAAAAATAGATCAGTTAGCTGTGCTTTTTTTTTTGTAGTCGCCTTTTCAGATTATGATTTTTGTCTTCATCCCCCCCGCCCCCCAAAAAAGTTACATAAGAGTTTACCAGTTAAAATTATTTTAGCAAAAAATATATTTCATTTGCTTTATTTTTACTGGTGGGAATGAGTGTGGAATGATTCTCTGCTTCATGTAATTAACTATAATGACATTTGGTTTAAGTGTTCTGTGACTTCAATTTTGCTTCTCTGAACTATATCATATGACCTAATTTTACCTTCTCTCCTTTCACCTTTACATAATGAGTGTAAAATCTGGTATTCCTGACATTCAGAAAAAATTAAGAGTTTAGGCAGACCTTGAAAAAAGTGATGTTACCAAATCAAGGAACTTAAATTAGTCACAGGTACAATTTTACTTACTCTTATGCTGCTACATGGTATCTCCGATATTCCAATCCTGTTAGTTTTCAAGCCATTCATTCAGTTGCCCTGGGGATGGGGTGAGATAGAAAGAAATAGGAATTCCTAGATTGGTGTTCAGAAACCAAGGATACTTATGAAGAAAATAATAAGAAAAAAATATTAAAAAATCAAACCCATAATAAAATCTCAACAAAGGAAAACTCAATCCCCCACCAAAAATCCCTTCTACCTTTCAGACACATTTGTACCTACTTATTTAGATGATCACAGTGACTGAAAGATCCAGCTTCCAGGAAGGAAGGCTCTGTTAACTTTGCTGGGGCCACATATTACCCACTGTGAAATTAAACTTTAAATTTTTCACTTAATCACTGTAAGTCTCAGTTCCCCTGTGCATGATGCTGACTGAGTGGCTTCAGGAGCAGCTCAAGAACTAGTAGCAGAGGAGAGGAGAGGAGAGATACTGCGAGCATGGGGGATCCTTGTGAAGAGGAGGGACCTGAAATATGATTGGGCTCTGCCTAGCAGTTGCAATGAGTGAGCGACTGCTTTCTGGGTCCTGACATTTTTTTATTTGCCTAGTGTACCTCCTCCAAACAAATACATCTCTAATTCCAGAAAACAAAGTAATTTCTGGGATGACCCAGACCCTACAAACAGCCACTGTTCTTAGAACTCATCCCCTGAAAGTAACATCAGTAATACTGAGCATTACGTGAAAGTCTAAGCTGCTGCAGACTCTTACCGACACTTGTTTCAAACAGGCCAGATGATCTGGATGGAGTCCCTCCAGTGCATGCTCTATCTCTGCTCACCTTTGCTTCGCACTTTGCATGAATTGGAGGAGCGACAGATGCATATTGCAGACATCGCACCTCACGATGTGACCAGGGATTTGATTCTTCTCAATCAGCAGCGACTGGCAGAGATGGAGCTCTCTAACCAGCTGGAGAGGAAGAAGGAAGAACTGCGGATACTGTCAAAGCACCTGGAGGAAGAGAAGAAAAAGACTGAAGCTCTGCTCTACGCCATGCTTCCTCAGCACGTGGCCAACCAACTGAAAGAGGGGAAGCGAGTTGAGGCAGGTGAATGAACAGGGTGCATTTCGTGATCCGTGATTTGTGCACCAGGTGATGGTGATAGAGAAACTGGGATGCTGGCAGAGCCCCGTCGCCACTATTGGGGCGTACATTCTCTACTTGGTGACATTCATGGGTAGGAGGAGACCACAGACCCTTAATCTCACTGGTATTACAGATTTGATTATTCTTTCAAACAAAGCTCTGGAAGCTATTTGCCAAAATTGTTCCTTAGGAGGTGAAAGGTGGTAGCAGCTGCACATTCTGGGAACAAAAATCAATGTTTCAACAGTAAACTGATATTTTGGTTTTAACATGGGTATACAGGGAAATGAGGGCTCAAAACCAAAAATAATAAGAAATTAATCTTTCCTAGAAAATTCTGTTACTTACTCTGTGTTATCTATAAACCTAGAATTATCATGATTCCCATTGATACTAAGGATAGCAAGGAAGAATATGCTTAAATTCCCTTTAGTGAGCACATATATGAAGTTAGGGGTAAAGAGCTAAGTATGTCCTGAATATGGATCGACAAAGGGATGCATTCAGATGTCTGGATTGTTTGAGATGTGCTATGATCCTTATATTTGATATACTCTCTACATTGACATGTGTCTTTCATATCAGCACCCATACATGAGTATTACAACTGATAGGTCATATGTCCTAAAAGAATTATGTGGTTGTCCAGCCGTTACAAGTACTTACCACCGGTCTTTCTGCTCACAGGAGAGTTCAAGGAGTGTACTATATTGTTCAGTGATGTTGTGACCTTTACCAACATTTGTGCCCAATGTGAGCCTATTCAGATCGTTCTCATGTTGAATTCAATGTACCTGCGATTTGACAGACTGACCACGGTGCATGATGTGTACAAGGTATGTACTGATCGATAAAAGCTATGGAAATACTCTGGAAAAATACTTTGTTGTTGTTTTGGTTTTCTGTTTTTAAATGCACTTTAATCCTCCCCCAGCATGATTTTAGATAAACCATAAAATATTGAACATTTGTAGCAGCCACACAGAGAAACTAAAAACCAGGCAGAGGTATGAATAAATATGTTTAAATTTTTCGGACAGGAATGTAACGTCTGTCATGGGCTAGAGTCTCTTTCCACAATGCTAACACCAGAATGGCTGTTCTTTTATACATATCTCTCCACTCTTGAATGCCTACCCTATATGACAGGATATCCAAGCTTAAGGACCAATTTGAATAATTTTCCTAGATCTTTTATTTCAACCTGTTGTAAATAGCTCACTATGTCATTAAGTGTCTCCTTTGGTGGGAAATAACATTCTAAACAATACCCAGATAATACCTAGACTTTGTGTTGCTTTGTGGAGATCTCAAGCAATGGTATAGATCTCCTGCTGACCCCAAGGAGCACTGATTAGATCTAGCGTGTAATGTACGTGTTGTCTCCAAACTGTGTTGGAAGGATCAGAACTCTGGTTGACATATAACAATAGTGTTATTAACACCTCTAGAGCTACCCAGATTTGATGAGCTGAAGAGCCAGTCCTAAGTGCATGTCCCCAGCACATTAAATATTTAGGAAGGCAGAAATAGTAAAGGGTGAAATCCAAATCTCATTCATTCCTTGCTCAGGCAAGGCATGCAGTTCTTCCCACAGTAAATTGTACTGGGAAATCAGAAGCATTTCTGCCTTGACAAGGAAACTATATTCAGTAATTGAAGCATCCAGGATATGGCCCACAGATTTCAGGATAAATTAGCATCATATTCTATCTAAATCGTCCATCATCAGTAAATTATCTGTCACTATAATAATCTTCTTTTGATGCCTGTATATAACTCCTATTAATATTGAAGGTTACTAGGTAGGGTACAGAGAGGGAGAAAGAGATTACTATTTCAGGGAATTGAGAAAGAAATTAAATATTGAACTTCATCAAAGAAACTTGGCCTAAGCTTATAAACATCTGAAGTTATGAATAAATCTTGTTAAATTAAATCTCCTACCACAGCTGAAAAATAATTATGGTATCTATTTGCATTAGTAGCTTTTTACAGTTGTTTTTAATTTGTTACAGAGAATTACTGGAGTTACTATTGCTATCTGATAGAAAGCATGTACAGGAACACATTTTTTGAGGCTAATATGCTGAACAGTTTTAAGTCATTATGTTAACGAACAAACCCAAAGATGAAATTATGTTCCTGCTCTCCTATTGGTGTTAATTTTTAAGAAATCCAATTAATCTATTTTAAACTAATCTCTTATTTACTGATGGTAAACGTAACAATTATGTCTTATAAGAGCATTTTAGAAAATTTCCTTACCGTGTAACAGTTTTTTACATTGAATTTTAAACATCTGAGAATTCTCTTTTTCAAGCAGGCCTAGTCTATTCCCAGCAAAATCTCTGGTACAGGGACAAACCCCAAAGTATTTCTCAGGTGCCTTATCATGCACTTCAAGGAGACTGGATGCCTGAAGGAGGACGAACCCTTCAGCATTTGTCTCACAGGATGCAGCACGTTGTAAGGAAGGATGCTCCTGAACTGCTTAGTTCACACTTAGCATTCTCTGACATTCTGGAGATTGAAGGTTTCTTAATTTAATGTGAACCCATAATAATAATCACCAGTGAATAGACGCCCTTACTTTATTGCGACTTTTAAAAAAGAAATCTCTTCTAAAAGAGAAGTAAGCTTTTAATGCCAATTGTGAATTAGAGGTAATTAATAGCATTCAGCTATTGGATAACCTCCTGACTCAGGAGCCTGAGCCTGGGGATAGCTCTTTGCGTATAGGTCTGCCCTGGGCAAGAGGAAAGCAAGAAGTCTGACACTTTCTCAGCATCCCTTACTCCTTAGGGTCTCACACTGATATCTAAAATGGGTCAAGCAAGCGGGGACAGAACTCATTGCTATTTCTAGTGTAGAGTCAAGGAAAGGGTCCCCATCTCAAGGAAACTCACGTGTAGTAGAGCTTTTTTAGTGAATGAAAGCATCTTGTAGAAGAAAGGTGGGACTTGTTGCAGGTAAGAAGAGCCCCAAACAGCAGAGCATTAATCTGAGCAAGATATATATGGCATGCTCATGTGCTTGTCCCTCTCAATTAAAGGTGGAGACAATTGGAGATGCCTATATGGTAGTAGGTGGGGTCCCTGTGCCTGTACCCACTCATGCTGAGCGAGTTGCCAACTTTGCCTTGGGGATGATTATAGCAGCTAAAGGAGTACAGAACCCAGTTTCTGGAAATCCTATCCAAGTAAGTTGTTAATGCAAAGATGCATGTGTGTCTGTCTGCTTCTTGGGTTGGACTTATGGTTAATATATTGCAGTAGGATATCAAAGAGCTGCTTCTGACTCCTCTCTGGCTTTGGGCAAGGCCCACGTGGGTATATTTTTCATGAAGAGCTTTTCCCTGTGGATGTTTGATAGTTTAGTGGTGTCCAGTTTGTGTTACAATGAACTTTTAGGTGGCTGGATAGCATTAAGAAAGATGTTAAATAACAAGTGACATTTTTGGGGGGTGTTTTATGTCTTTGTAAAGATTAGAGTTGGGATCCATACAGGTCCTGTCTTGGCTGGAGTTGTTGGAGAAAAGATGCCTCGTTATTGCTTATTTGGAGACACAGTGAATATAGCTTCCCGGATGGAGAGTCATGGTGTCCCGAGTAAAATCCATCTAAGCTCCAGTGCCTATCAGTGAGTAACTATGATGGAAACTTTGCATGTTAAAAGCTGTGCTAAAAAGCACTGCCCTGACAGCTGCAGCTTTCAATATAGATGGTGCTGTCTTTAGTCACTGATTTATGCAGCTTACTTATAAAGAAAAATCACTGTTTGCAAAGAGTTTTATGTGTTCTGATTATTTCAAATGCACTTTTATATGGAGACAGAGGTTTTAGACTCTAGATCCTAGAGAGAAAAACACGGGAAAAAAATAATTGTGGTAGCTTATTTGGAAGTGCCGACAGAATGATGCATATGCCAGAAAGATGGTCAGAACATTTAATTTGGCATCTTGCATAACAAAAGCTTTAAAATCTCTGATTGAGCACATTTTGTGATGAGACAGTTTTATTTGTACTTACTAAGGATTAACTGCATGAGCCATGATCCTATTCATGCAGTGAGTAATTTACTTTCCTAAAACAAATGTCACTAAAAATTAAATAATGCATTTTCAAGAATTTTATGTATGCATAAAATATGTATGCAAAAGGTGGAAATGAAGACAAGCTGCAAAGGAGGAGTACAAAAACATTGTCTGGGCACACAGGAATGATATTAAGAAAGCCAGAGCTCAACTAGCATTGAAATGGGCAAGGAAGGTTCAAAGGCGGTAAGAGGAGCTTCTGCTATGTTAGCAGAAAAGTATAAATGGAAATGTGGACCTGCTGTCCAGATTAATGTAGTGGCAGTGCCCTGAATAAATGCTGAGTTACTCAAGGCCTCTCTTGCCTCAGTCTTCGCTGATGAGGTCTTCAAGATCCCTGCACCTAGAGTCAGGGTTCAAGGAGTAGGTGAAGTACGAGTATTGGAAGAGGATCAGATCAGAGGTCTTTTGAGGAATCTCAATCTATAGAAGTGTGTGGGAGCAGATGGGGTGTCTCCAAAGGTAATGAGAGAGCTGGGTGATGGCATTACAGTGCTGTTGACTGTCATCTTTGGAAGGTCAAGGACGATCAGCACCATAGCAACCGAAGAAAGCCAGATGTTACACCTGTATTGAAAAATGGCAAGGACAGGCTGGGGAACTATAGGCCAATCAGCCTCATTCAGTCCCAGTGAAAATCAAGTCCTCTTGGAAGCCATTTTTGGACACATGAAGAAGGCAATTGGGAATAGCCAGTCTGGATTTACCAGGAGTAAATCATGCTTGATGAACCTGATTGCCTTCTCTGATGAAATGACTGGACATAGCTCTGTCTACCTGATATTGGCTGCCACAATTCTTAATTTCTATTTACTGGTCAATAAGAACCCTCCAACATACTGAACTATTTGACTACACGATCCACTGATTTTTGATCAGGCTCTATGTATAAAGCTATAAAAGCACAGCAAGCTTGAATAAACAATTGAAACAATTGTTCATGGATTAATACTGTTTTTCCTGGACTGTTGTGATTTGATTACTTAGATTATGGTAGCTATTCTAAAACATCAGTGTAATTTGTGCTAATCTTGAATTTTCTTGTGTCATTTTGCTTCTGGTATTTAGATGCCTAAAATACAAGAATTTTGAGATGACTGAAAGAGGAGAAATAGAAGTAAAAGGCAAAGGGAAAATGCACACATACTTCCTCATTAGAAATAAAACTGCAACTGAGAATGAGATTATGGGAAGGCCAATAAAAGACTTAGATTCTGGCCATGAATCTGTTCAGTCCTTTCAAGAAGGCAGGACTGAAACAATACCAAGTTGTCATCAGCCAGGTAGAGCCAACTCGACATATCTTTCCCTCCTTGAACAAACGAACGTTAATATAACTCAATTAAACTTCCCTTTCGGTTCTTCTTTCAGTTACTCAGACTCAGCCAGAGAAGGACCAGACCCCAGCCATTGCAATGAAGTATACTGATGGCCCCACAGATGCACAAGACAGCCTTCGAAGAAATCAAGCGAAAATTGCAGATTTAACAGGTAGTCATTTAGTTACCATCTAGCAAAGACAACAGAACTAGGAAGTAACTGAGGCTTAATGTTAGAGATTCGTTATATTCCTCTTCTGAATAACCATGGTTTTACTCAGACCAGGAATTCATGCCAACATATCCATGTTGGTGAAACTAACTATTCTGCACACTGTTTAGGGCCAAGCGAATGCACCTTCAGAGCAATCCCAGGTGTTAACCGTGCACTAGGGAGAAAGAAGCTGAGATAGCTGTCAAACCCCAGAGTCCTTCTGGCTGTGCAAACAGAACAGATAAATGTTAGGCAGCTCTTCGCATGGGCAGACCCAATTGTTCATCTTCTCCTAGAAAAACTGACATTAGTTGTAGTTGTGGGGAAGCCCTTATCGACTTGAGCCTGAGAAAGAGAAACCTCACTGGCTATGCAGCCTGTCAGTCCTCAAACCAGTCTCCTCCAGGAGTCAGAAGGATTTATTGCTATGCCCATGTTCTGTGACCAAAGTTCATTCTCCTTTAAAGCAGCTTCTACTGAAAGCAAGATAATGGATTTGATGCCATAACAGTCTAATCTAATGCAGCCAGTCTTGTAATTGTATTTACATGTTTTGTAAATATGTTGTCACTGATTACTAGAAAATATTTTATTCCCTTCCCTCCCACCTGCTTAGACATGGTAGTTTATCTGGTATATGGTGTGCTGACAAGCAGAAACCTCTACGGTCATTAAAAACTCACTCTGAAGGAGTGTTTCCTTTCAGGCAAAACTTATGATTCCAAAAGTGATGGGAATCTCCATGGCAACCAGCATGCAGATGATGGTCCTTGTCCTCTAAACCGGGGAAGAGTCAAACCTGCTACTGAGGAGCCACAGATTAGAAATGTTCGCTCTAATTTTTGCACTTTACTCTAAGTTTCTTACTTTTTACATTAAACAGAGCAAGTTTATTATGAATTAGTGCATTTTGCTGTTGTGGGACTGATTTTGTATATCAAGTATGGCATGATTTTGTAAAAAAAAAAAAAAACAAGAAAAAAAAGAAAAACATTTCATCACAGTTTTCGTGAAAAAGAAAACAACGGAGAATGGGGTTTTTTTGATTAATCTACATGTGCCATATAATACTCCCACTGGAGAAGGAAACCACTGCAAGATGCTTTGAAGACATATTCTTCAGCCTCTCCCATGTCTTTGAATATCCCTATGTAAAAATCACTTTTTAGTATCTCATGCAGCAATTGAGAAAGAGGTGACTCATCCAGCTAGAAATATTCTTACTCAAACAAGCACTTGCCATAAAAGAAACGTTCCCTGAAGTGACCATCTGTCTTGACTTCAGCACAGCCAACAACTTCCCCATGTAAGGTTAGCAGAGTTTCATCTACTTTTTAACTGCAATGACAGTTTAGTCTCTTAACATGTCTTTTGTTGGGTAAAGGCATTATGCAGTAGAAGGCAGAATAGATCTAATACAACCTGTATTTTTCCATCCTGAAGAGAAAATATTGTGTACTTTATAGCACCCAACAGTAAAAAACAAACCATCTGTGACCTTTAAACCAGCTCTCCATGCTGTACTTAGATGATCATAGGACATGCACATAGTAGAGTTGCATAGCATTGAATGCATTACAACACTGAAGGACTGTTCAAGGCCTATGAACTCTCTGAGACCTTCAAATGAGTTGCAAGTTTATTTCTCATTTTCTTACCCCAGCTAAACAAAAATAAAGTTTCAGGGCTACAGAGATCCATTCGTGTGTTTTGAGACTAGTCTACAATGTGAAACAAAGTACAGTAAGTGGGTTTGACTCATTCAAGGCAGTACTCTCGACTCTGACTGAAATGTTGATGTAAGGGCACCCCTTAACATTAGTACTTTCCACGGTACAGCTGAGCAGCACCATTTAGGGAGAGTGCAGTTTTATGAATGGCAGGATTGATTGATTTATTTATAAGGATTTAGCAATTTAGGCTCTATTCATTATTTTGGCGAGGGTGAGGTCTGCTGTAGGTTGAAGATGCATCTAAGGATTATTATTGTTAAATTGGGTATCATGATTTTAAACATTTGACTGTGTGCTACCCTCAGACACACAGCACCTAAATTTCACCTTCACCTGTCGTAACTTCCCCACTGGTCCAGTGCTCTTGGCTTTGCACTTCTGTGTTACGACCACAGCTTTAAAAAGACTTTCCTAAAGAAAGATGATACCTAATTTATCTCTCACTTACAGTGATGAAGATATGAAGTAACAGTTAAATTGGCACTATTTCACTGATTTAAGTTGAGAATCAACTCTGACAAGACTTTTTTTGTCTCCAACCTAGAGACGCATTTCACTAGTCCCGACTAGTCATGCTGATGGAACAGAGAACACGTCATTTAACAAATGGCAGTGGTGGACTCCATCTTTATCAGCATTTTCTATGGAGATATAAAGCCACTCAGCCCCAGGCACGAGTGTGACACAGGAATGTACGTCTCTCTGTGGCCAGTGCCTCTTGCTGTCCCAGCTGCTCTTGTAGCCCTGGGGCTAAATAGTGCTGACCACTGCTCCGAAAGGAAGGATTTCCAACTGGAAATTGTCCAACAAGCCTGGCCATCAGTGAATAGGGTTTAGTATATATTCCAGGGTTTACTATAGATATATTCCAGAGCAGTTTTAGGTAGAAGCCCAGAGCTCCTCAGAACTTGTATGGATCCTCTTGGGAAGAAGAAAGAAAGGACCATGGCTTAAGTGCTGCCTGCATCTCTCTGTCCAAATTTTAACACTTGCTTTGCTTACACCTGCCCTTTTTGCCCCGAACAATCTATGAATGTTTAATATTGGAATGTTTTAACTGCCAGTAAGTGCTCCATGGTAAGTTACTTCATGCTGTACTGTGGTAAAACTGATGTGCTTAGTGGTTTCTCTGTGGCCCCTGCTACAATCTGCTTCTCCTGGAGAGGCAGAACTAGGTCAAATCTGCACAACTGCTTTTAAATATTAATGTGCCTGTGCATCATCATGTGTTCTTAAATCTGTGGGCACTGCTAAATACTGTAAAAATATAATGAAAAAAATAAATATTTCCATTAATATACTGACTTCCATTTGTCAATGACTACTTGGATTCCTTTCCCTCTTTGTGCTTCCGCCTTTTTTGTTCTTTTTCCCTATAAGTATACAAAATTTTAAGACCATTATACCTCTAATAAATGTCTGGTGAGTTTAATTTCTTAACCATACACAAAGTTGCATGTATTTGTGTGACATCAAAATCAGCAGCCCACTACAACTGACATTGTCGTATACATACTAATAATACAGTCTTACTGTCAGGGACATAACTACATTGAATTGACACAAAAAGGGTGGGAGAAGAAAAGTCCCACTGCTGCTTCATGGAAGCTGAGGCTTAGAAAACTTAAAAGTTGAGGCTTTTGAAAGCTGCCTAGAGCATATGAATTCCCCAATCCCATTAAATCTGGCATTTAAACACAAACTCTCAAAAGCTTGGGTACCTTAAAGGTCTAGGAGCCAGATTTTCAAAGATGTTTGTTGTTACTTTGCTAAGTAAAATCAGCTGGATTTAGGTACTTAACTGAACACATATGCAGTGTTTAGTTTCTGACAAGGAAGCTTTCTTTAAAATATTTTAAAAGCACTTCCCTGTAAATGCCTTCTAAAATGAGCTGTTCAGTAAACTTTCCAAACTGCAACCTCGTTTGCTGGAAGTCATCAATTCATTACTTCCGACATTACAATGCAACTCTGTATGGACCCAAGCTGAACATAAAAATCCACATATAAAATAGCAGTGAAATTAAAATTATTATGTAATTGGTTAGAATATATTAAAAATGAATATACAAAACACAGTGAATTTCAAAATGAAAAAAGGAGCGCAGATTTTTATACAAGTATACAACTTCACAGAAAATCCAGAAGGGATTTTTTTTCACCAGATCTCTGCTTTCACTTGTGAAAGCTCAAGAGTAGACAATGAGATTAAAAACTTCCTTAAAGCTACTGGTACAGATATCTACTATTCATGCATTCTCTATACAACATTCAAATATCAGTGCTGCCTGTACATAAAGAAATAGCAATGTGCAGTATTTTGGTTCCATAAATACTTGTAATCAAAATAAACATGTGGGACACTATATTTACTCATATGCCTTGAACTAAGAAGCACTCTTCATTTTTTCCAAGCTGTTTGTACTTCTCTCTCATTTTACACCTGTTTGCTGAATTTCTGCTAATGAGTTTTGCCATGATCCAAGCCATGCTGAGAAGCTGTTCCTGAAAAAGTCTGATATTCATGATTTTGACTTGGTCTACAGTCTTTAGTCTCTGGCTGGATGAACACATCAAGTCAGAAACAGATTTGAAGTCACATTTTCGTACTGATTAGTACTTACTCTCGCCTGAGCCCCCTCAGAGTTGAACCCCGAATGGACATAAACAGTCATTGCCAAGCTTTGCAGAAAGTCAGAGTAACATTAACTGACTGTAATGCCTTCTTAACTTTGCTGTATTAGTACTGTGAAGTTTTACAGTTTATATACAGAGAAAATCTCACAGGCTCTTTAATAGCTCTTATTTTGTCATTTGCGTCAAAAACCTTTCTGGCAAGGGAATCAGCAAACACAAGCAGTGACATAATTTCTGCTTTTTGTGACAAACACATTGAAACCTGCTTCAACACCCTGTTTGCAGTAGTCCTAAGATAAGAGATCCTGGAGGCATGTTGTGCAGAAGCTACTTTGTGGAGGTACCTTTGCTATCATGTGGCTTCATCATGGTGTATGGGCTCCCGGACAGCTTTGTCGTGGCTTCCATTTCCATGCTAAACATCAGGGCAGTGACCCGAAACACCAGCTGGGTGATTGTCTGCAGGCATCCTGCCAAAGCGTTTTGAAGGAAAGGAACCTGACACACAGCTATCATTTAAGGCCAATTTATCTTGAGAATCAATGGGCCTTTAAAAATTCACCAGCTCACATATCCTTTTCAGCAATGGTGGTTAGCTGCTTTGTGCTCTGATTTTGCGGGCTTTGGAGGTAACCTTGCTTTTCAGCATATGATGGCATATCCATTGGTAAGAGGAAACTAACAGCCTTTATTTTACCCCTGGAGAAAAACAAGAAAGCATTATGAAGGATTACAAAAGCATAAAACGTGCAAAGAAAGTAAAAAAAACCCCACAACCCAGCAAGGAAAGGTAAATGTTTTCAGCACTTGCACACTGCACGGGGGCAGGATTTCATGCCCCACTGAGATGGGGTTGACACGGTCTTCCCAAGGGACCAAGCACAGTATTATCTGCCTGTCTGCCTGTCTGCTGGAAGTATCTGCCTGTTTCCATCAAGCTTCACATCTTTCGGTTGGCACCCGATGCATGCATACGTACAAAGCTACAGACGTACAGAACCCTCAGGGTGCACGTGCATCCCCATGGACCCTGGGGACCCTTCAGTGGCTTTATGTTTATATGCATCAGGACCCAGCTACTGCAAGCGGGTGTGAAGGCAATGGTTTCCAAGCGGTGAGTGTGCGTGTGGTAAATTACACACTGGCTGTGAAAGCAGAGGGAGAAACATGCTCCTTTATTTGCCCCAAAACTGGCTGCTTTGTCAAGTAAATGGATTGGGGTTTGCAGAGCTTTGGTTTTCATTCTGACTGTCCTCTGTGATTGCTGTCATCTCACTCAGGCCCTTGTGGAGCACAAGAAAGGAAAATCATGAAAGTCTGGAAGTATTTATTGATGGTTACTGGGGGGTGTCCTGTAGGGCAGAGGACCTCTGCAATTTCCTTGCCCCTTCTCACCTCTCACCTTACAATTAGACCTGTCCCACTGGAAAGTGAAACCATCAAGCCTGAACACCCCAGTGGTGACATCTGTACCAAACAGTAACTGTACCTTTTGTAATTTTACTATAATAGCCCTGAAAACAGTTTCCATCCTCTCTTATCCTCCTTAATATATTCAAATATTTAGTCTCTTTTTTTTTTTTATTTACCAAAAATAAGTGGGAATCTCATGGTGTAAATAATGCTTTAGCATATATGAATGAAAATGTTGTAGACATGCAAATTAGCGATGATTTGTTAGCAGCGCTGTTATTTTATTACTTGGATGCAACTGCACTCTAGATAAATCCAAGGTAATACTTCTACAGAGTTAATTTTAAAGCAAAAATATTCAGCATCACATATAGCATTATAGTTTTGGAGCAAAATGTGAGAAAACTATAAGAACAAAGAATAGGAAAACCTGACATGGACCAGCATGCTGAGAAGAAAAAAAGTCATCACTTTAAAAAAACAATCTTAGCTTGATGAATTCATTGCCACAAATTACCTCACTAGTTAAAAGCTTACTAAGATTGCTTGTCTGTGTTAGACCTTTGTGTATATAATGGAAACATTCACCATTATGATCAGAAAATATATTAAACTTTTTTGGTATGAGAAACACGAAGCTTCATTCTTCAGGATATCACCCAGTCTACTGAGGGGGTCGGGTGAAAAGCTCTTTCCACAGCCATTTCTTATCCTAAAGCAGCCAACACTGTGTGGACATGAGTTACGGTGCTAAGCTCGCTGCTGTACAGAGCTGACACAGCAGCTCTAAAGATAGCGATAAAATAATCAGCACCGTTCCTTTGGCCACTGGGTAACCGGTACTTTTAAACCTGTAGGTCCCAAGGCATCAGTTGCAATAGATCTGTGTCACTGTTTCGATTGCTTTGAAAGCTCCCTTTCCCCTTATGAGAAAGCAGCGGCATTTGCCATTGCTGTTCCTGCTCCTGCACGCTGACGCTGTGTTTCCTGACACACACACTTCCCACGCGAGCTGGCTTCACGGCAAGCCTCTCAGAAGTGTTTATGTGCACCGAGAGTCTGAAGTTTCCCTGAACTCCGTGGAGCATATGCTGAAATCCAGAGTTACAAGGTCAGGGTGCTTTTGAAAACGATACGAGCTCCCTGCCAGGGACTAAATTTAGGTGTTTAAATGCTGTAAAACATCTGACCCTCAGATGTCCTTACAAGAAAACCTAGGTGCCTATGGGAACCTGCCCTCGTGGTCCCCTCCAGCCTCTCAGCGAGGAGCTGGGTTCCCAACGGGGTTTGCGTGGGGAGTGGGAGGGGCTGTGCACTGGTCTGCTCTGAGGACACGCTGTCGTGCGAGGGTGGCACAGAATAAAAGCTAACACAACATGCCAGGCGGGTGGGTATGTCAACGCAGGTGACACAACCCACCAGAGCCGTGCAGCCCCCGAGCAGAGCCCACCGGAGTCCTGCCCCGGGACACGTGTGGGCTCGCAGACCCACAGGCTGCTCCCTGTTCAAACACGCACGCTTTGAAGTCTTTTGGGCTCTTTATCTTTTCAGCACAAACCCAGCAATCTACGTGGATTCCCAGGTTGTATATATCAGCACCAGGAGGTGACTGGGGGTACTGTGTATCACACTCTCATTATTGGTGCTTCTACCACTGATCGTTGCCCTGTGCTGGGAAGCTGCTCATCAGTGAGCAGAGACACTCAGGGCTTGCCCGGCAGCCATTTCATCACTTAATTTAGAAGCTGTCCTGAGAGAATTTTTCTCAGGGCTGAAAGCATTAACTTGTAATGCTTCAATTACAAGGGAAATATGATACAGTACATCTAAATCCATGAACCATATTAATCACATTTTCAAAAGCCTAGTTCAGAGTTCCTTGATATCTCCATGCTTTTCGTTCAAAGTTTAAAAATCCCTTTCAAGCTTAGCTCGTCCGAACACCACATCAATCTGCAAAACTCTGCCTAGCTTGAACAGAGAGATTTCAAACTCCCTTCCCTCTCCCCTCAGCCTGTCCTTTCTGTAGAAAATTTAAACTGCTAACACTGGCAATCTTCACGTATTGCAAGGAGGAGCGGGACAACTTACCCAGAAGAGGTCTCCCATCTGCTCAATGCCCATATTCATTCGGACAAAGATTTTGCTGATAATGAACTAAAACCCAAAGCAACGTCCAGATATGCGATCAGGTGAAACCCGCAACCAGCCCAGGCTGTGAAGGCAAACTGAACCCACCTGCACTTATAGACATGCTCCTGAAACAGCTTCACTTTGCTGGAGTGGCTGTAGGAGGGACAGGTGGCCGGCGGATTTTCCAGCCCTTTCTGCTCGCCGCCGGGGGGCTGTGGCGCAGCAGGAGGGGCCGGTGGCCGGGCAGTGCCCGGCATGGCCGGGAGCCCGCTGCCCAGGGGCCTCTCGCCGGCCCAGTGGGACCTGGCGCTGGAAGGAGCGGGCACTGGCGAGGCAGTGGAGTAGCGCCGCACAGTCATGGTGGTATCTGAGTAGCAGAGACAAAAGCAGAACTAGGAACATTAATAATAATGAGAATTCAGATATTCTTGATGTATTTCTAATCACTTTCTTTTGGCTCAAAAGCATTTTGTACATGGGGAGACTGAAAGGCAGAGGCCAAACAGCCCCTTTGGATCCCACTCTTTCCCCTAAAAGGCAGCTGGGGAGGAAAAGCCACAAAGTTGGAAAGCACTTTACACATCTTTCACGCTCGCTGAAAGACCATTCAGCTATTCCCAAGCTGACAACAGCCATAACCACCAGCATCCCCAGTTTAAGTTACTCAGTTACTCAGGTTAGTAACCTGCTCAGTGGCCTTGACAGTAGGTACTACTCGATTGCAGCACTCATCTAGCATCATGTAAATCCACTAGTACTGTCCAGCCTCTCATCTTGTTCACTTTCATAGCCTCGTCTCTGTCAAAACCTGAGGCATTTCTCCACGGTCCAGACCCTTCCAGGCAGCTGGTTGAGAAGTCAGCCACTAGACCCGTGGAGCATGCGGACTGTAACAGCAGCTGCAACTCATGACACACACCATACTAATGCCAAGAAGTTGCGTTAGTGAAGCAGTTTTCCAGTGGTCTGGATGTGACAGACACCAGGCAAGGAGGCAACAGGCCTCAAGCACGTATGATATCTAACAGCCCGGCCCTGCCAATAGCCACATCCAATTCTAGGTAACAACTACTCACCAAAGAACATTTTGCTCTAATTCCTGCTTCATTAAATCCTCCTGAAGACCCAACCAGACTTCTGTAACTGAGGCATATTTCCATTTTTCCTGTCTGATAAAACTGTGAAGAGAGTGTCTTCCTATATACTGGCCCATCTCTCCCTCAGCCAAAACTAATTGCATTATCTGCAAAAAGAAACTGCACATCTGGTATGATCTATGCAACCCACCACCTTTTGTTACTATTTGTAGAGTTTTTCTCATCTTTTCAGTAAAAGGTTACGGCATGTAAAAGGTTTTGGCAAGTAAAAGGCAAGAGAGGTTACAGCATGATTACACCAGCTGGTCCATTTTTGTCTGGAACAGACAGGGGACAGGCATGGGCAAGGCAGCCCATGCCCACAAAAACTCAAACCACTACGTCAAAATCTGCTTAAACAAAAATAACATGAGCTCTTTGAGTTGAACTTTTTGCTTGAGCAGCAGCAAAATACGCCACTAAGCTCAGCTTGGGGGTTGCACATACACCCCTGAAGAGATCACAGAGTGAGACACTGGTCAGGGTGGGTTGGGGTGTGGGCACTGAAGGAGGCCAGAGCACTCCCATCAAGTTAACCAGACGGAGAGCTGGTGGCTCATCTCCCGTTCCCCGCAGACACCCAGCAGCTGGGCTGGGAGATCCTGCACGGACAGCATACGTGGGTGGCACGGACAGCCCTGGCTCATCGGTACCTGTCTGCTCCTTTGGTGCTGGAGCAGGACCGGCCACAATACTTCCGTGCAGGGATGCTGGAGAGCCAGCTGGTCCTTCCCCATCACTGGCGAGGCTCCTCACGTCATCGTTCCCACCTCTTCTTGCTGTCTCTGTCTCCGGTGGCACAGCTCTCTGCCCGCAGACCTGCAGCTCTCCCCTCAGAGCCCTGTTTTCCCTTTCCAGCTTGTTGATTTGGGAATGCATCTTGCGGATGACCTGGAGGAGGTGTGCGTTTCCCTCCATGGTCCCATGCTGAGCTGCAAGGCTCCCTGCTTCCCCACCAAAGCGCCCGCCCTGCGGAGAAGCTCCTAAGCTGTCGGCGGGCAGACCCTGCCCTTAAAAGCCTCCGGACAATAGGAGTCCCTCCCTGCACGCAGGGCTCGGGCCAGCTCCCACCATCCAGAGGGCTGGACTGAGTTGTCAAGTTACGAAGAGAGGCCCCATGATTTATTCATTCAGGGTCTCATTTTTCAGAGCAGAGCTGGCCTCTTACACGCTGCACAAATCACTGTCAACACAATATCGCTGCATCATCGGAAAACCCTCCTGCCCCCTCACTTGCCTTGGGCCTTGGTTTTCTCCAAAAGGACCAAAGGAGGACAGAGCCCATTTCCTTTGGTTTACCTGAAAAGGCCAGCGATTGTCTCTGTGGCACAGAGGGAGGGCTTGCCCTTTGCAGGGCAGCAATTCATCTCTCCCCCAACACTGGGTGAATTACTCATTTTTGCTCTGTGCATCTGGAAAAGAATTAGCAATTTCTCTAAGGAAAATTAAATTTCCAACTGAAAGCTGATATGGTGCATGACCCTCCCTATTAAGGAAGTATGCCAACAGCTGTGATGGACGAGCAGGTAAACTAAAGCTTTGCTGAAAGGCCACAGAAGAGCCTGCTGCCCCTTCCCCTGTGGCCAGGGAGGCTGGCTGGAGTGGAGCGCCTGCACCAGCATCCCAGGAGTGTAAGGAGAGACAGACTGAGCATGAATCTTGCATTAGGAAGGGAAACACAATCCTCTGTGCTGCTGTCATCACCTAGTCCCTAAAGCCATCTTTCTGCTGGCAGTAAAATGAAAAAACCTGTGGAACATCCTTCCTACCCCCCCCCCCCCCAACTTATTTAAAAATACAAAACTGAGAACGCCAGAAAGCCAGCAGGAAAATAATTTAACACACCTTTTTGCTTTGAGACCATCCACTTTCCAGTAGCTCAACAGTGACTCAGGCATATCTGAGAAAAAAAGACCTTTCAGCTGTGTGCACTTCACCACTTTGCTGCCGGAGGCTGGAGGAAGAAAGGAAAGCTGGCATGAGATGCTCAAAACAAGAGATGGCTCCATTTTATTTTCCTAGAGGGTGTCAGAGGAGGGCTATCGTGAGAAAGACATCAGGTCTGCGAGGAGGCGCTGCCACCCAGCAACTACAGGGAAGTTGGGCAGAAACTGCTGGAATTGACAGAAAAACATGGATGCAAGGGAGGAGCCTTTGCCCTGGGCATATTCCCGTGTGGCTGCTGCTGCCTTCTCGGGAGCAGCATCATCAAAAAGTGCTTCATAAGGACCAAGTGGTTCCTGTAGTTCATGCTGTGCTCGCTCCCCGCTCTGGCCTACAGCAACACGCCGTGCCCAGCCAGGGCAGGTAGGACTTGCTGTAGGACCTGCAGGGGTACACAGCTGTGCTGCTGTTTTCAGGGACGCAGGTACAGAGATGGGGACCGGGGGCCACAGGAGTCACAGGCAGCCCTGCTGTCACCTCCCAGGAACCTCTCCAGGGACCTCCCTGCAATTCGGGCTGCATGCAGAGAAGTGAAATGAATTTGAGTTTTGGAGCTGCAAACAAAGCCCACAGCACCCATGATCTCTCCAGCACACGGGGAAGAGGATGTCAGGCCCTGCTGTGGGGCTGGCAGCAGTCTGGCCTTCATATGCTGGCATTAATCTTGGCAAAGCTCCTGACAGGTTGTGGCTGTCCCCTCTCCAGCCCACACAGGTTGCATCAACAAGAAGCATCAGCTTATGCTGAGTTTTTTCCTCCCTTCCAGAGACGTGCATATTGTTGAGGGCATAATAACATACAAATGGGAAGGAAGGGGCAAAGCTGGGTTTGGACCAAGGCTTAAACAACAGTGCAGGTGCCCCCATGCTGGCGACAAAGTGTGGTGAGCAAAACTGCTGGAACTGAAATACAATTCCTCTCCCTTTTGGAGTCATCTGAGGACTTAAAACATAGCATCAACCCTCCAGTACTGGTTTCAAATTTGTGTTTCTGTTTCTTCAGCAAGTAGATCAGGCGCTGGAGCAGCAACAGCACTCACATGTAATTATAATATCGCTGCTGATCCTGCAGCTGGCAGGTTTGGATGGGCAGGGGATGCTTGCCAGCTCCGCAATTAGCTTACCCTGACAGCAGCTGAAAACATCTGCTCCTCTGATCCCATGCCCGCTGCTCCACTGGAACCAGACCGGAGCAGGCATGGACCTTTTGTTGTACCAGAGACTTCTAAGAAACGGCATTGGTTTTGTAGCATCGTACTGCTGCTATTCCTGCCCAGGGACTGATGGGCAGGGGGGCAGATGAATTAGGAGTTTTGGACGATGAAAACCTGTCAAAGCTAAATTTGCCACTAAGCTGGTCAGCATGTTCCCCGTAAGCAGACAGAGCTCCGTGCACCCAACCTTGTATTTGTAAATCTGGTGGGTCCAAGACGTGTGCTTGCGGTGCCAGGCCCGTGGGACCGCCAGCCTGGGGCAGTGGGCAGCCCCCGGCCGCTGCCGTTCCACATGCCACGGGTGGGAAACACACTCGGTGCCTCCCAGCCGTGGCACACTCGTAGGGTGCAGCTTTTGGCTGGCCATACGTTCAGCGTACCTTCCTGCGCCTACTGCAAATGCCGATAGCTGTGAAATACTTCCACTTAAAGTCATTTAACAGAAGGGACATCTCATACAGGAGCTGCTTTGGCAAGTTGTGCCTGGTAGGACGTGGACCTGGGTGAAATTGTATTCACTTTCAGTCATATCCAAACCTCTCCCCTAGGAAGAATAACCAAACACAGAGGTGGAGTTCCTGGCAGCTGCTGGGCTCAAGCAGCCCCACAGCAATCCCCGTATGTGACTGCCAGAGCACACATTGTTTCGGTGGACTGTACGAACTGCATACCAAGCAGTGTTGCAGCAGAAAACCTGTGAACAAAACACAGAAGCTTTGCAGGGCAGCTTCATCCAGAACGAGGGGGAGCTCGGCTCTTTATTCTGCCACTACTTGGTATTCTGCAGCTCCCTGCTCGGCTCAGCGACATGAGATACTGTGCGAGTACATGGCTGCAGGGGGTCCCTGGGGAAGGGGCTGCGCTGCCGGTGGAGCAGGTACGCTGTGAAACCTGCCATCAGCGGAAAACGGCACCTGCGCAGCTACCGCCGCTGCTGAACAGTTTTATTAGCTGTCTTGCCTGCCAAATCTGTTCCCTTGCTCCCCTGAAGGTTAGAGAGATAGACCCAACAAGTACTCATTGCTACTGCAGTAAAACTTTTTTTTTTTTTTTTTTCAAATCACAACGTTTCTGTCCTTTGAAAATCCACAAGCAGTAAATGTGTGGATATTTTCTATGGAGGTGTGCCATACCTCCCAGTGGCACGGGAGCCCCTGTGCAAAAAGACAAGAGTCTCCTCATTCTGGGGCTAAATCCAACTGGCAGAGCACAAGTACCAGGCTTCAGCTTGCCATGAACATGCATGAACGCAGCACTGTAACACCCATACCCCACACTAGCACGGCAGGGACCACAGCACCAAGCTGAGGCTGAGGCTTCCCCTTCCCAGCCCTCGTGCTGGTCTGAGCGCAGCTGGGCTGCCACAGGGTTGAGGTTTTAGGAGGAGGAGATGGAGGCAGAGGACCAAGACTGAATGTGGCTGGAGGTGGAAAGTGCCTTCCTGTTGCTACTTAGCAGCAAACACACACCCTTCCTCTTTGCCTGGTGCCTCCTAACCCCTGGACTCCCATCCCTGCGACGCTGAGCCCCCTCCCCGTCGCAGCTGTGAGCTGCTGCACCCCCAGCCCTGCCTGACACCCAGCACCCCATCGCACCCCACTCCGGCCCCTGGGCCGAGCCCCAGCAGCGTGGCACCGCATCCCCAGCCTCGCTGGGCCGGGCTGGAGGAGCAGCACCGCAGCCAGCCTGCCCCGACGGGCCACTCGGGAAAACCCGGGGGCGAGCGCGGCTCACAGCTCCATCATCCCTGCACCAAGCCCGAAGCCCAAATCTCCCCCAGGGTGCGAGTCTCCAGGGAAGGCTTGCTGTTAGCAGCCACGAATGTCAGCAACGCTGGATTTATTCATCTTATAAAAAATGACCAAGCAAAATCGTAGCAGCAGCAGCAGCACTGCTCAGGGTCAATGCCAAATACTTCTTATGGCCGCTGTGCAAGAACATTGCTGTGGCTTGAGTCCTTGCTTCATTTCCGACTTTGACTTACATTTTATGCTTTGTTATGGTGCAAAAGAGGCTAATTCTTTTATGAATCTTTCTCTACAACTTAAGGAGATAAAAAAAAGAATAATTCAGTAGATTTAAAAATGAATAAAAAAGAACTGGTTTTCATTGTGTTGATTCTATTTTGCTAACTCACACTTCTGATCATTTTGCTCCTGTATGTCTGAAGGGACTGAATAGATTTAATGTCAGAATTTGATCCCACAGTGACCTTTTCCATGTTTAATTCTCAGTAGCTGCCCCATTTTAGGTAAAAGGTAACTTTATATTTTTCCCTGTTTTCCGATTTTATTTCTCCAATTTCACTCTTCTCAATGTTTAGACATTTAGACCTTTAGACATCTAAATTATCCTGGTGCCTTACTTGGCCAGTCCTATTGCTTGAGACTCAGCAGAAGGTTGAGATCGATGCTCTTCTGGAATGCATTTTCTTCCAAGCACTTGAATAACAGCTTGAACAAGGTGGGACATGCAACACGGTCTGTAGCTGGTATCCATGTCCCCAGAGATGCGGCTCTGCCAGGCCAGGTCTCCTCTTGCTTTGAATGAATTTCATCTGCAAATGCTCAGCTGTGCAAATAAATCCATCCTCCTTGTAGTGGAATCATTTGACAGATAAGATTTTGGAGCTCAAATCGAAAACGTTCTAATAATTGGACAAAACAGCTCAGCCTCTAAGGTTTGCTGATCACGCCCATGTTTGATGCAATCTCCTAACACGCCCTGGCCCTGCACGCCGTGGGTCGAGCACTGCTCTGGC